GTTGTGTGGATTTGGTTCTCATCATCCACTGACGAACCATTCCACTGGATAAGAGAAAGTATGTGTGAAGTAAAATGTCTTTCATTAGCGACTTGACAACTTGACACCACCGGCACGAAATCCACACCCAACAGGGATTTCTTTGAGGATGTAGAGATGTTTCATGTTTCAGTAACGCATATTTTGCTTATTTACGAAGCCGTTTGAAGCTTGCATTTTGAGAACGTACGTCGTTTCACATGAAGTTCTTGAGTTACGTGGTCGTGGTGTTTTTGTTGCTGGTTTTGTTGTTGTTGTTGTTGTAACCGCAAAATTATTCCCCAAAGTACTTTTTGGGGAATATTGCGGGAGTGACAGTCCTTGGCCGGATAAAAATCCGGGTCGTTCCGGTATAAAGACCCGACTGTCGCGGGAACTATTGGATTTTAGTCGCCTCTTACGACAGGCATGCCTTACCGCGGGTAAATTCTTGAGCCCCTAACCCGCGGGGGTTTGTTGCTGGTTTTCGGGGAATATTGCGGGAGAGACAGTCCTTGGCCGAATAAAAAATTCGGGTCGTTGCGGTATAAAGACCCGACTTTCGCGGGAACTATTGAATTTTAATCGCCTTGTCACTTGTAAATCCTTTAGCGCCTAACCCGCAGAGGAAGCTTGATCTTGTAAGAGTGCACGTCAAGATCTTTATGCAAAATTCGCCATAATGTGGTCTGTGATAAACGCTGTTACCGCACTTACACTGTTTATCAAGTAGAGAATATGTTGACTAAAATTAACGTTAACGTTAACGGTCTTAAAATTGCCACCAACTACTCGAAATTTCGGTAGTAAATTTTAAATTATTTGTAAACGTTTTTCCATGATGAAAACGTTGACTCTACTGAATATTTTGACATTTATAATTTGACAATCTGTTTAAAGGTGTGTTCATGGTGATAATTTGCAGTTGTCAAGTCGCAAATGAAAAATCCTTTAGATTATCTGAAAATTCTTAGAACAGCGATAAAATCATACGCTGCAGAAGAAATGGAATTAAAATGGGAGATTAGACACAACAACGAACGCAAGCACTCCTCCCATCTCGTTAGAAATAAGTTGTATGTACGAATGCGTTTCCATTATGGGCTTGTCCTCACAGTCTAGGATCTGTATCCCGTAGATCAACTTTGGATGTGGTCTTTAGGAGCTTAAAAGGCCATCGTTTTTTTTTTTTTAAATTCGATAAAAAATGAAAAACGAATGAAATGAACGTTTAGGTTGAATTTAGTCTAAGATGGATTCCAAAAATATAGCTAATCCGCTGCCACCAGTATATATATTTTTTAACAAATAATCTTGAAGGTACACGCCTTCGCCGTTTAAAAACTAAAGTGTACTTTTCAGCGCGCTACTGTAAAAATTTCAGTAAGTTGACGCCCTCCACCTACGGGGAGTAACGGTATATAGATTTGTAAATTGGGTAACACATTTACGCCACTGATTGAGCTATCATTTAGTAATTCTTAGAGCTGCCAGTTTTTCCCGTTGTTATTATTATTATTATTATTATTGTAGTAACCGCAAAATTATTCCCCAAAGTACTTTTTGGGGAATGTTGCGTGAGTTACAGTCCCTTGGCCGGATAAAAATCCGGGTCGTTCCGGTATAAAGACCCGACTGTCGCGGTAACTTTTGGATTTTAGTCGCCTCTTACGACAGGCATGCCTTACCTTCCGCGGGTAAATTCTTGAACCCCTAACCCGCAGCGGTTTTGAGTTGCTATCTTAATAACTCAATTAAATTACAAATTTCAAGCGTTAGTTCTTTCTTCATTTCATAATTTTCTCAACTCAACCGAGGTGTTATTTTTGTATAAATTTAATGAAAACCTGAGCATTAACGGTGATTCTGTAACTTATTTGCAATATTCATACTCAAACATATATGTACATACATACATATGTATTTGTATATGTACATGCAAAATTTTTTGGTATATGTATGTGTAACAAAAAAAAAAATAATAAACTTGTCTTGTCAGATTTTACTTTTTCATCATATGGGCAGTTTCGTATTGAGTTTCGATTTGTTTGTTACTCAAATTAATTTTGCTCTTCCTCTTCCTCTCTCTTTCGTATCTCGTACTTGTAGCCATGCATGCTTGCAATTATACATATGTATGTATGTACATTGGCTTTGTTGTTTGTACATTTGTATAAAGCTGCAGTATTTCAAAGATACATTTATTTGTATTTAGTACTCTTTGTAACAGAGTATGTTGTTTACTGCTACTGCTCCTCTTCATTGTCTTTTATCTATTTATATGTAGCTGTCTCTTTCACACTTGTAGTATTCGCAAATGTGCACCTTCTCACTCTGAAGGTCATACGAATCAAACGAACCTCAAACCAAATAATTACTTTCAACTTAATTTTCGACACGGTCTTATGAATGAAAAAGTCCAAAAAAAAAATAATAATAAAAATAAATAAATAAAAAGGCAACATTTAAGAAACTGTCGTCATACATTTCAATTAAGCGTTAAAATGCTTTAATATTATAACGAAAATTAGTAGATGTGGCACCAAAACATAATGTTTGAGGATTTTTTTCTATATCGATCAATCGATAACGATTATTAGAGCTGTCAGTTATTTTATTCGCTATGGTTGATTTTATATTCTAGCATTGTGGGAGGTAATTAGGGATTTAACAAGATTGTTTTATTAATTTAAGCTTTCTTAAAAAAAAAAAAAACAAATAAAAATAAAAAAACAGGATGCTCTCTGTATTAAATATAAGAGAGAATATAAGCTTTTTCTACCATAAGGAACGGAAAGAGATAGATCTTTTTCTTTAGAGGAGAAGTTTGAGCTGAAGTACTCGCCATGTAGAGCTTTTTGCAAAGTTTAAGCGAGCTTTGATATCTAATTTTGATACTTCAGATAGTCGTGTAAATTACAAAGCTCCTAATAAAACCAGGCATAAGCAGAGCTACAACAACAGCAGAGGAAATGTTCAGCGTCTCACTCGTGCCTTCTTCCTTGCGTTTGACGCCAGTAGGTTGTAACTTGTCGTTAGACCTACATAATCGCCACAATCCTCTCGATACTGTGTAGGCAAAAATATCTGTTTTATTTCCGTCGGGGATTTTGCACATAATCTTGGCGATGCTACATGTCGTTCCATTTCACCCTGTTTAGAAATATCATTGCGTATCGTTTTTAGCGACTTGTGTGTTTCCTGTACTGTCTCGGTAGTCCGACGGATGACACCTTTTGTAATCTAATGAACTACAGCGTTACCCGATATGCCCTTGTGACCTGGAAACCCATATATTTGCAACCAATTTTCTGCAGCCGCCACACCTACCAACTCCCTACTTTCAAAGACATTCTCTGACGCAATACTATGTGAGGTTTCCTACGTTGGTAGCTATCTCAGCAGCTTTTCTAAACGCGAATACTTCCGTTGGAAGATACTGTAATTTGGATGGTTGCCTGAGATTTAATTTCCGCGCTTTCTCCGTCATTCACTTCTGATCCGTCCGTGTAGATGTTGCAAGATCCGTTAGTGGATCACATTTTTCTGCTTCATCCAGCGTCTTTTAATGCAATTAATAGCGAATGCGATCGTTTGAGTTGTTCTTAGCGAACCCGGTACGCAGAGTGCAGCAAGCCGCTGTCTTTTTCACTTCACTCTTCCACATTGAGTTTGCTGTCAAAAATACTCCCAGGTACTTCATGGTAAGACCTTTATTTCAAAGCTTGAACCCTTGAAATTCCTTGTAAAGAGTTCCATACTCGTAATACTTTTTAAGTTAGACGATGTCGCCCTTCGGTATATGGCCCATGTAGTGTTGTCCATCACTTTACTAAATGTGACCAGGAATTTGCTCGTCACGGGTATAGCTATGTGTTTGGGTGCTCTCACTTAAAATTTTTTCAGAAGCTCATTTGCTACAAATGACCATAGGAACACTTCCCTAAGGAGGGAGTTTCGTATGCTTGTTAATCTCAACAGCCTGGCTTCGCGTAACTCCGCGTTAATCTTCCTACAGCTTAGTAGAACTTTTATCCATGATAAGATGAGGAGCTTTCAGACTACTTCCAGACTATTAACGATTGCGTCTTTGGAGACAATGTTGAATGCCTCACTGGTGTTGTTGTAACCGCAAAATACTGGTTTTCGGGGAATATTGCGGTAGTGTCCGTTCCGATATAAAGATCCAACTGTCGCGGTAATTATTGGATTTTAGTCGCCTCTTACGACAACGGTTAAATTCTTGAGCTCCTCACCCGCAGGGGCATGAGCTCTCTCTATATTTATAGTTAGTGTGTGAAATGTAGTCTTAGTGGATCTATCCTATAAATATCTTATAAGTGTTAAGATTAGACAATTCTGAGTAAATACGGTTAGGTGAAAAATTTCGATGGTAAACATCCTTACGTGACTTTTATATTATGATGAATTATGCCATTTTTTTTTCAAAAGAAACAACAAATATATAATTTTGCTGTTACAATATGAAGAGGATTTTGTAAACTAGATGCTTATTGGAAATATCGTAAATAAGTTATGGGGCACTAAAAGCCGTTAAAGACTTTTCTAAGTAAACAATTTTTCAGTCGAAAAAAAAATATAATTTATTTTATAAAGATATGTATATGTATATATATACTATGTACATATTTTTTTTATAAAAAACTTTAGTTGTTTTCACTTACAATAAAATATAAAAATAAATTGTATAGTGTAAAAAACGTTAAAATGCGCGGAGTGATAATGACGGCAAGCCTTTATTACCGTGATACACGTATTCGCGTCAATCGTTAGAAGTGTGGTGATAACAATAGGCGAAAGTTATTTAAATAGAATAAAATAAAACTAACGGTAAATTGTCGTTTAGAAAAACGAAAATAACAAACGGTATTCAAAGCAATGCTAAGCCGACGAGCGACATTTTGTAAAAGAACGAAACAAAAATTTATTTAATATAAAATTTATATTTTCCACAATAAAAGGACCTGTAATTCACGGCGAAACGTAATCAAAGACACCCAAGTAATTAAGCAGAAAACCGGAATTGTTTCAAAGTAAAAAACGTCAAGAGTACCAAATTCACAATTAACATCAAAATATCATCATCACAACAACTAAGCCAAACGTCAACAACAACAAACGCAACAATTGACAAATCCCGGAACGTCTTGAAAGTGCATACATGCAGAAACTGAACAGAATAAGTGAAGTGCCAGAACAGACAGTGACACAGAGAGAGAGAGAGGGACAGAGAGAAAAAAGAGAGAGAGAGAGCAATAAAGCAGAATTGAGTAGTTAATAAGAAGAATACTACTACCTGCATTCAGCTGGCCAACAAAAGAAAAAACCAAAAATAAAAACAACCACACAGTAAGAACAAAAATATTATCAGTGCATATTGTGTAAAATATATGTATGCTACACTTATCTCAGTACAAAATACTTAGAAGTATATACTAATGAAGAAATTTTATAGCAATTTACGTCAACACGAGACATCGAGCGCAATATTGTATACCTGCCACTACAGCCAAGATTTGACTCAGCGGCCGTAACGTATCTACGCATCACACCTTGCCAAATTCGATTACGTTTTGTTTATCCCGATCTGTCGGTCAATTGTCATAGCACTTTGTACTGCAAAACAAAAAGAAAAGAAAACAGTGCCGTCGTCGACGTGTCACCAAAGGGTACAGAAAAGTGAGTTGTTGCTCAAATATTATATTTTCAAGACAGTTAACACTTGGGTAGAGAAAACAATGCAATTGAAATGCTTAGCTTAAAATAAAGGCATACATACATATAGTTTAAAAAAAAAAACCATAGCTTCCTTTTCTCGACTGCCTTTTTAGCAGCACACCCCAACATTCCTTATGGATTCTTTATAAACTTTCTTTCGATCGTCTAAGCTCATAAAGGCTGGTTTTTTTTAGGCATGTGGTTTTCAAGAACAAATCAAAGACATATAATTTAAAGATAAGGGTTTGCCATTTTGTTTACAAAAATTTTCGGACAAGCGACTGTCTCAACCGGCTCAAATAAACTCCAACGCTGAGACCCGAATTTCGATCACATTTTGGAAGCAATTTGTGCCGAATATTCTCTTCCAAGTCGTCAATAGTCTCGGGTTTATCTACATAGACAAGCAACTTCACCCCTCCTAAAAACTAGTCCAGTGGTATCAAATCTCACGATCTTGGATATGATGTGCCACTTGCCCACTACCCGTGGTAGTACACAATTCAAAAGCTTCCTTCAATAAATAAATTCTTTCGTAGGCAGCATGGATCGTGTAGCCATGGCTCAGCTTGCCGGAACAAAAGGTCGTTCACATCAGCTTCTTTCAATTCAGGTACGAAAAAGTCATTAATCATTAATCGGTAGTGCTCTCCGTGAACCACAAACATATTGTCGGCTTCATTCTTTAAGAAATATAGACCAATAATTCCCTCTGCCCATAGAGCACGCCAAACGTTCACTTTTTGAGGATGTAACGACGACAATATTGGTTATTAACATACCCACTCATACAGAAGTGGGTTTAATCGTAGAACCATTATTTTGGTAATAAATTTTTACGATTTGCAATATTTGTTTCGGTTAAGCCTATTCATTATGAAATAGCATTTCAAACTGAGTATAAATCAATTAACAGCTGTCGAAAATACCAAATCAAAGAGTTCCGCACAGCACTAAACACCCCTTTGCATGTCTCTTAAAACCAACTCCGCTAAACCCCGGAACCTGTCGAAGCAGCTTGTTTCCTGGATGGCTTAGACTGATCTAGCCAGTTCCTAAGCGGGTTTGTCAAACTGCTATAACAACAAGCCAGTCAGAAAGAGTATTGCTTCATTGAAAACCCTACGTCTAAAAAATTTACATATATTATTGGCGCTTCATTACTACCGAAAAGATTTTAGCCAGAGCTCATCCTTCAAATTTTCTTTTGTTCTAAAAGTTTTTACAACAGTTTTTCTAAGCCACCTGCCAAGTGACGTCGTGGTCGTCGACTTTGGTCTTTGTTTTTTCATTCCCTATGAATTATTTCAATACTTGAAGCATTTTTCTGATCGTCCAAGCTTTATACATACATAACCGTGGAAACAATACTTTTCCGAGGCCTCTTTCTGATTTGCTTCTAAAAGTTCAAAAGTTTCTTTCTAAGCCACCTTCGTACGGCTGATGGATTTTAATGAGTAGCAAAAATATTTTGAGGGGTTGTCAATTCCCAGACCGGGATGCTTTTCTATCCAGTATTCAGAACAATATCCTCCGAAAACGCTCGGTCGCCAGTCGTCCAGGACAGTTCTTGTTTTGATCAGCAAAAAATCTGCAGTTTCGTGCTTATAGCCAAAGCATTTTTGACTTGCATTTATGCAAGCCTTAAGGTGAATTCCTCTCTTACTCCTCGTAACAAACTCACATATTCACATAAATTGATTTTTTTTCGGGTGATCCATAAATTTATTCGATAACAGTATAAGTATGCTGGAAAAGAATTGCATTTTTTCCTCCTCCCATACTACTGTCAATAACCCTTCTGCAAGTTCATTTGATTTTTTAAGCATAAATCCGTTTTTGTAGAACTGTTCCTCATCGTCGAGCAGTCACTTGTCAAACTTGGTTAACACAACAGCAACAACAACAACAACAACAGAGAGGAAATACCTGCAGCAGCTAAAGGAGATTCGTTGGTGGTAGTATCTTTTTGGCAATTGTCAAAGGCTAATCTCTATTAAATATACGTAAACAATACCGTAATATCGTAATAATAAGCAGCAACAACAACGAAACAGTAGTACTGATCGAAAAGTACTCGCTAAAGACACACAAAATAAATTCCAGCGAGTATATGCAACTAAACTAAAACAACAAACATCAACAACAACAACAAAAAAAAGGAAAAACCGAATCGGTCGAATTAATTTTGAAAATAGTCATATTTGTATAAAGAAAACGCCGTGTACAGTGTGTGTGTGTGTGTATCTGGATGTGTTTAACACACCCAGTGCCACCCCTCAGACCCACATATTATTCCCATTTCGGTCCGTCGCTACGCTCCTTAATACGTACTTTACTCGTCGTCGTCACTTTCAGCGAACGATCGCGTTTATTAGCACAGCTGGTATACTAAAGTAGCAAGGTAATGAGCAAATTTTAAGAGCAAAACAATTACTATAGAGAATGCAAGATAGAGAGAGAGAGAGTGAGAGAGGTAGATAGTGGGATAAAGATTTAAAAATATATTAAATGCTAATTTTTATGAGAGAGCGCGTGTACAACATTCGTTTGTTAAATAACAATATACAAGAAACAAACTGGTTTTGGTTACAAGACAAAAAAAAAAAAAGGAAAGCAAAAATTTGCTTAACAACAACGAATGGACAGTGTGTAGCCAGCCTATATAGATAATTCTGCATTTCTTTCCAAAGGCAAGTCACTAATTTATGTTTTGGAAAACAAAGTTCAATACGTTCAGTCGTTTTTTCCACATTTGGTTTCATGTTTTTGAGTATGATGCGGTTTAAATAATAAAACTAAAAAAAATCATAATATGCAATTAATGCTTCTAAATGCGGAGAGAAAAAGAGAGCTGTATAATTCATTGAGAGAGTAAAAGGTCGGAGACTGATCCAGAGCGTTAAATGAGAGTTAGCTCTCTAGAGCAAATTTGCAAACTTGTTTCATTCGACTTTGTGCTGATATGTCAATATATGTATGTACATATTATAAATGTATGAGGAAAAATAAAACAACAACAATAACAAATACATAGTTGAAGTATCTCGCTCGCGTAAGCAGTTGTTCAGTTGTTGGCCAGCAACAACAAGTGATACACAAAGCACGTACTAAACTGAAATTAAAGTAGCAGCAGAAACAGCACGAGCACAATAACAACGACAAAAACAAGAAAGCAAGCAAAGCAAAGCACAAGCATAAGCACAACCTAACCAAACAACAAGGCAATCGGCCAGGCAGCCATTCAAGCAGGCAATCGCTCGAAAACAACTCGTTTCGATTTTGTTTCACAGATACCTTTCAGACGTTGATAAAGATACCTTTAATTTAAAATGAACTTAAATTAACATATACTATATATACATACTTACATATATATAGATATGTAGATGATTGCGTTGCGCGCAGCACATAATCAAATGGAGAGTGTGTGATTAAAGTGTGTGATCGATCTGTAAAGTTATTAAGTTTTGGATTTTTTCTTTCTTTCATTTTTTTTTTTTTGTGTGTGGAATTCGATGAAAACTCATACACACCACACAGCGAATTGTAGAAATCATGCCATAATAAGTGTACTATAAGTACCTATAGAAAAGTATAGCTGCGAAATGTCGATTTAAATGTGTTAAAATTGATAAAAAAAAATTCTAGGAAATTTAAAGAAAATCAATATACAAATATGTAGTTTGTATGTACATATATGCATAAAGCAAGTAATTGAAGCATATTAGCAACTAGCAACTAGCACCTAGCACAGAAGATTAATATGTAAATCTGTGAAACGATTTTGAAATATTGCAAAAGAAAAAGCAAAAGAGGCAAAAATACCATATATTGTATAAAAACCACACAAAATCCCCAGAGTAGCAGCAGTAGCAGCACCTATAAACAACAACAACAAGAACAACAACAACAGTGCTACATTGAAGAAACGAGCAAAAATTCCGCTTATGCATGTATATATTAAAATGAAACGTTGACAAAAACAAGAGGAGGAAAATAAATATAAGAAGCAAAAGGCGAAAAACGCAACGCTATTGTTTTTGTTGTATTTGTTTTCTTTCATTTTGACATTCTACAAGTGTGTGCATATATATACATATATTGAAATGAACTGTATAATATAATATAATATTATAAAAACCATATACAGATGATTTTTTTTTAAGCAATAACAACAACAGCTGAAATTCAAAGACAACTTCGCGGCAACATACACATATGTATGCATGTATATATGCACGTAAACACGTACATATACCTGTCTATAAAACAAAGCGAATATACTACACACTACATGTGAAGGAACTCATGTTGTTTCACTTCAACATATATTGAATATATGGAAAGTGACAAATGGCGATACGTAAAACGACGTATCTTGCAGATACCACAACTGTTTGTAATACATGCTTTCATCAACGCAACGGTAGTAGTTGTATTTTAGTATCAGTGTAATAGCGGCAGCGCAGCAGCAGTAATAGCAACAATAACAGCAGCAAAACTCATCGCCATAACTAAAATTATAATAGTAGTGACGTTAAATACCAACAAAAATCATAATAAACACGAAATCTACAAATACGCAAAAATTCACAAGAACTACAACAATAATAATAACCTGCAAATACCATTACACAGAAAAAGAAAACGTGAAAGGAAATAAAAAAAAAATTTGTGATCACACTAGTGACAGAAATCCATGGTCTACCTTAACCTAATTTAATAATTTAATGGTTATTATTTAACAAGAAAATAGCTCTGTTATTATTATTTTGCAGCTTACTGAAATTCAAACGGTTCGCAGTGTAATTGCATACAAAAGAAACAAAAAATCCAAAATCCAAGAAAAAAAAAATAAAATAAAAAAGAAAAGAGAATATTAAAGAGTTATCACGTCGAAACGGCCAGTGGAGCCAACAAGGGCATATAACTAATACACAAATAGGCCACATATAAGACAATACGTGAAAAAGTGACTGCAAAAAAAAAAAAAAAAAAACCAGAGCGCACCGCACCCCCTAATATAAGCGACTGTAAACAGAGATCAGCAGGCGCATAGCCAGTTGTAGCCATAGCCATAGCAGTAGCACCCGTTCATGCTTCTGTGTCTGTAAATATATCGTTTTTTTTACTGCATACCATAGCATAACATACATACATACATATGCACGCATACATCAACCGAGCGTGTGAGTGATCTACAGTCGAATTATAAGGAAGAAGAAAGAAAGATGTCGATTTTTTCGTCGCATTATTGCTAATATCTAGATTCAATCGAAAAACATTTAAAAATGTTATACCACACGTTCAAGGAATAAATAAAATATTGGACTAAATCAAAAAAAGAAAACAAAACTATAAATCAAAAGCATAAAATTGCATGTTGTAGACAGATTTTCAATAGTTTTTCGCCATTATAATCGATTATAACCAAATGAAAATTACGCGTAATCATAAATGTGGTCGGTGCTGAAATAAACGCATAAAATTATCGTTTATGAAATATTATTATTTTAGAGTGAAATTTTACAAAGAATACGGCTACACGAATAAGTTGACAAACATAAATAATACATATATTTAAATTCGTACAGTCTCTCAACTCTACTCATTGCATTCTCTTCTTTTAATAACAAATAAAATATTTTCAAGTAAAGAATTTGTATGATACCATTTTCTCATAAAATAGCACTACAAAAACGGATGCACGCCTCAGATACGAAACACTCCTAAAAGAGTGTATTGCATTTTATTACCTTGGCACTCGTATAATAAATGTTCCATGAAGAAAACTACTCAACCACAAATAAATTGAACGCAGCATAAGAAAAAACAAAAACGAATAAAAAACAGTAATCAAAATTTATACAAGTAAAGGAAAATCGCTATACTACTACTACACGTCGTCCTAAGCGTTTATATTGTTAAAAAAAAGAAAAAAAATTACAGCGGCCAACAACAACTCTTCCACGGTTGATGCTTCCTACGAAAAGAAAGTAAAAGAAAAAAGAGCTCGAGCAAACTCAGAACTTCCACAGTAATCTTCAAACTCCATCGTACAAGCAGAACATAACCTAGAACTACAGGTTGGTGTCAGTTGTTTGTGAAGAATAGCAACTTGAACGCGCTAAAAGCATAGAAAAAGTAATACTCTAATCAAAGAAGATTAAAGTATAAACAGTTTTACATAAAAATATTTGAAATTCCGAATTCGTTTACGTGTGCTACCCGTTTGTTGTTTAAAGAGATATTTTTTTTTAACCACAACCAGCAGCAGCACTACTCATTCGCAACACGCAATTTGATTGTATTGCGTTATGACAAATTCGATCGCTACTGCAAAATGCCCCTCAGCACTTACGTCCGGCAACTATGGCATGTCACAAAACCGCTACACCGACGAATCCAAGGACTATTTCTTTGTTAAACTAACTGATTCTGCTTATCGCGCTATCGAAGAATATCAACGCAACGAGAATTCCAAACGTTTCACAAATGGTCAATGTCCCAAAATTCAAGTGAATGGCAATTCCGGTGTCATCTATTTTCCAACATTGGACAGCAATGAAGGTCGTAAATTTGGTTTTACAATCGATGATGTTGAGGGTTCCCTCGAGTGTATACAACAGACTGCTGAAGGTCTCGACGTACTCGGCTCGATACCCTATCGTATGCGTATACATGCCAATGATGATATTTATGACACGACCCGTACTAAAATGGCAATTGCCGAAGAGACGGAGAAGAGCAAGTGTATACGTGAAATTAAACCAAATCAAACCGATATTGGTCGCAAGGTGAAGAAATCTGTACCCTCGTCAACAGTCTATTCGCATTTGGGGCATAGTGGCACTAGCAACGGCAACAACAATAACAATAGCAGTAGTAATTATTTAAGTAGCCTTAGTCGTAATAAATTAGCAACGTCGCTGAATAACAATTCGCCACCAGCCACACAACATACGTTAAGTAGCGGCGGTAGTGCGTCCGGAGAGCGCATGCAAAATAAACTTGGTGGCACAACGTCGTTATCATCTTCCTCATCATCGTCACGTTCGCCTAATCCCACATTACTGGGTGGTTCCGGGACAATTGCCAGTGGTGGTGGTGGCAATAATAGTGGCATCGGCAACAATCGTTATGGCAGCAATATATATTCTCAGAGCAACGTATCACCATCACTACCATCACTCACGTCCGCCTCATCGCTCTCTTCCACACTGGCGGGTGGTATTGCCAATGGTTATGCGTCCGCCGCTCAACATAATCCATCATCAGAATCCGCTACGTCTACATTAGCTAATAGCAACGCTAACAGCAAACAATCACGGCTGAGTGGAAATACTGCTGGCGGTAATGGTAACTTCTCACGTGGTGGCGGCAGCGGTGGCGGCTCGTTTTCTGGTAATGGTACAAAGGCGGCGGGCAACGGCGGCAAAGCTGGCGGTGCCTCAAATGCTGGTGGTGGTGGTGGTAAGTTACCTGATATATCGCGTCGTAAAATACGTGAACGCCTAATTCATTTGCTTGCCTTGAGACCCTTCAAGAAGCCCGAACTTTATGCTCGCCTACAAAACGAAGGTCTGCGCGATCGTGAGCGATCACTTATAAGCAACATACTCAAGGACATTGCGTTATCACGCGACAACACATACAATCTGCGCCGTCAGATGTGGAATGATGTGAATGAAAATTGGCCATATTACACAGAGCAAGAACTGCAGCAACTGAAACGGCGGAAACCACAGAATTTGACACCACCACTCAGCTCGGATGCAGGCAGCTCAACATCCGGCCAAAGTCCAACGTCAACACATACTGGCAGTCCACCACCACTTGCGGGTGGTAGTGGCTTGAACGGCGGTAATAGTTTGAAACGCACTAGTCTGGAGTATGATGAGCCATTTCCGCCGAAGAAGCAACGTATTAGTCATATGGCAGCATCAAGCGCAGCTGTAAATCGTATTAATCCAGGAATCGCCACAAATAATGGTGTTGGCGGCAGTGCGGGTTCGCGTGTCGGTACCAATTATGCCACTAAAGGCGGCAGTGGTGGTAACACCAATTTCCCAATGCAACGCAATAAACATACAACGGGGACGTATTCGCCACAAGGTTCTCGCACTGCTCAAAGCAATGAGAACTCTGGCAGTAACGATCTAAGTTACAATGTGCTCAATATGGATGATTTTATGTTGAATATAGATCATCAGCAGCAAGGGAGTAGTTATGTACCGCATAGTAGCGGGAGTAGCGGCACACGCAAGTCAAATAACGGTAACAACGGAAAATCAGCTACTGGCAATCCGAAGGAGAATCGCTATTCTGGCAGCAACAATAGTTCTTCTAATGCAACGACGAATGCTTTGTCCAAAAATATTAACACCGGCAGTAGTGTGCAAGAGAACGAAAGCAGCAGTAGTAATATGAAGCATGCATTAAAACGTGGTGCTTTGGCCGGGTCGCCAAAGGGTTCATTGCCATACGGTGTTAACTTTGTACCAGAGTCTAATAGTAGCAATGCTACTAGTGGTAGTAGTAGATCTACTGTGCGTGACAGCAGTGGTAGTCGCAATAGCAGTGGAAATTATCGTCAATCGCCCAGCTATATGCAACAGCAGCAGCAACTACAACAACAACATCAGCAGCAGCAGCAACAAAAGTCAAATAATAGTGTCATATACTCGCCCAAAATGCACCCAGCACCAACGAATAGCGGCAACATTGAACATGAGGAGCATGTGCCGACAGGGAGGAGAGGAGGCGGCAATAATAAAAGTCAAACTGCATCGCGTTCAATGGCGCCGTCGGCAGCTGGTAGCAATAAGCAACAGCAGCAGCTGCGAGGTGTTGATGTACGCACGCCCACACCACCAGTACAAGATCAACAACATCAGCAGCAGCAGCAGCAGCAACAACAGCAACATAATCAAAGGCACTTACAACAGGGAGGACATTACCAAACGCAACAAACGCATTCCGCCAACATACACTCACCAGTGCAACGGCTTAACACCAACAACAACAACAACCAATCAAATTATCCTTTACATCAACATCAGCAACATCAACCACAACAACAACAACACCAGATACACTATCAGCAACAACAACAGCAACCACAACGACAAAGCGCATCACAATTGCCGGCAGCAACAGCAAATCATTCCGCCATCACCGATGAAGTGGAAGCAGAAGACATTGAAAGGCCCAGCTATGATTTTTGTGATTACACGGCGATAACAACCATCGAACAGCGACGCCAATACAAGACTGAATTTGAACGGGATTACGATGAGTATCGCCAGCTGTTGGAACGCATCGAAGATGTTCGTCGTAATTTCCAAGCACTAGCCGATCAGTTGCAACGTGTACCGCAAGGTTGTATGGACTATGAGCATATTAAGGAGCAAATTGTGGCAGAATATGAGCGCATTAATAATGAGGAAGAGTGTAAGCGGGACAAGGAGCGTTTCGACTATTTGCATGCAAAATTGGCGCATATCAAACAGCTCGTGACCGACTATGATAAAGCGCTTACATCAATGGCGGCTGCGGCTGCTGCTGCAGCGGCACAGCAGCAGCAACAGCAACAACTTCAGCATCAAAAACAACAACAAGAGCAGAAATTACAACAACAGCAACAAGAGTACGCGTCCACAACGGCCGCTATGCATTTGGCAGCCGATGCAACATCGCATTACGTTGATAGTAGCAACAATGTGTTGATGGCTGCAGCAACTGCGCATACGGCGCGCGTTTCACCAATGGTGAGCGGTAGCGAAAGTAATCACTCGCCACCAAGTGGCTATCAAAATCAAACACAATATTATGTGCAGCAGCAGCAACAACAACAGCATCAACAAAATTTGCTGTTGGAACAACAACAGAAACAACAAGAAGAGCAACATCAAAACAATGCTGTTAAGGAAAGAAAGAAGAAGCATACGCATGCGGCGACTACCTTACAACAGCAACACAATCAACAACAACAGCAATACTACATGTCACCACACAATCAAGCACATGCATCATCGCCATATGATGAACAACAGCATAACATGCAGCAGCTGTACCATCAGCAACAGCAACAGGACCAATTCAATGGCCACCAGCAGCAACATCATTATCAGGGTAATAACAGCAACAACAACAACAATAATAATAATGATTCCGACTCGGACGATTCGTCCGACTCAAATGATGAGGATTCTAACGACGACGACGATTCGAACGAAGACGACGATGATGACGGTTCGGATCGTAATTCGAACAATGATGGCGATGATGATGATGAACACTTCTGATTTTACACTTATAATTTCAAGGGATAAAACTTATTTATTAGTATAAATATGAAGTGCACACGGAATATTGTAGGAGAAAAAAAGAAAATAACAATGTAAATGAATGAATTTCAAAATGCTGCGTATTTATGCCATTTCTCTTTGTCAATTGTTTTGCAACGTTTTATATATGAATTTAAGTTGTTGTTGAAAGGCTAATTTAATTGCATTATTGTTTGCCAAGTCGTTAGCAGCAAAATCACACAAAGTGCATATATTGATAATATTGATAAAAAACTTACTATATATAGTGAATATATATTGCTTTTGTAAATATATATACATATTTTTTTGGTTGTCCGAATGGCGGTATATACTACGTACATATGTATATTACTAACTTTTAAACACGCGCTAATTGCAAAATTTTCACTGATTTAGGAATTTTGTATAAATGAATAGAGGAAACAGGATGTGAAAGAGAAAGTGAATTGGTATTTGTGTAGAGTGGATTATCCTCAAAAAAAAAAAGAAGCAAAAAAAAAGATAAACAAAAAAAAATTAAAAAAAAAAAATATTTTATTATGAAAACAAAATGCATATGCATACCACATATGCAATATAAACATACTTACATACATTTAAATATAAAAAATGAACATATACATACACACATATATAAAAATATATTTTTAAATCAATTGAAAAAAAAAAAACAAACAAACACTAGAGCAAGCAGAAATTTTAAGGAAAGAAGTAATTGTGTAATAATTATAGATTTAAATGGCAACTGCCTGCCAATATTTGTTTAATTTTTATGCTTTTTTGCCGTCTTGCATGTACAATACATATAAATATTTTTTTTTTTTTTTTTTTGGAAATGTTTGTTTGGCAAGCAAAACACTTTTGCTGTGTTCCGTTTCATGTTGTGAACGGCTACCAGCTGTAATAGTTAAATATTTTACAAGAACAATTGTTAAACTTGAAGTTAAAGAAAAGGAAAACAAAACAAAACAAAACATAAAAAAATAAATATTAAATAATATTTAGTTAAATTTGGTATAAAATAGTTTTTTATTTGTTACAATTTGTTTATAGCATGAAGGGTGTGGAATTAAGAAGGGGAGGGGGAGGGGTGAGTTGGTGTAATAGCCACTAAACATATGCACAGTACACATGCATGTGTGAACTGGTAGATGCAAATACATTTGAAAGAGACAATTTTATATAGTCTGCCCTAACTATCTCTCACACTGCAGTAGTGTGCAAGAGAACGAAAGCAGCAGTAGTAATATGAAGCATGCATTAAAACGTGGTGCTTTGGCCGGGTCGCCAAAGGGTTCATTGCCATACGGTGTNATGTGTGAACTGGTAGATGCAAATACATTTGAAAGAGACAATTTTATATAGTCTGCCCTAACTATCTCTCACACTGCATTTCTTGCATAGGTGAGCTGGTGGTAGGCTTTCAACCTAAAGGATACAAATTGAGAATTTATGTATGCAAAGATTTAAATATTAGTTCTTTGATACATATACGTACATACGTAAGGATATAAATTGAGGAACAGGAACAAACAAGAAAAAAGAAAAACAAATAGTAATAAACGTGTGCACACTTTCAAAAACAAATACCAAAACAAAACGATAAAATATTAATGAGCTCAATTAAAACTACGCACTTCGCTTGCTTGCTTTGCTTACGTCAAATAGGAAAGCTTAAAACAACAACAAAAACAATTTGTAATATAAACAAATATATACTATATACACTCAGTCACTATACTATACACACATAACATACATAATTGTATTTCGTACCTAGTATATACTATACAAACCATAAATAATTTGAAATTTTTGAGTCAAGCTCATTTTTCTTTCTTTTCGTTTTGCCTTATTTAATTTAAAGTTTACAACTTTCATGTGGTATACATCTATAAAGAATATTCAAAAAAAAAATGTGTTTGTGCAATTGTTTCCCTAATTAAAAATACATACTTGGTAGAGGTGAAAGGATAATAATGTTATTTTTTTCTCAAAATTCTAATTTGATTTTATACATATTTTCGCTTGTGTATAGCAGCGCTGTTTTACAGTATAATACAACAATATTAATACCGGACTGCGATGTAAAAATGCCTTACACTTTATTCTTATTACTTTATGAATGTATTTTATGTTACTTTCGTTAAATCCTTATAAAAAACAAGCCTTAACTAAATTTTGCATGCTTTTTTTTTATTTTAAAAAATATTTTTATGAATACAGTGGCGCTCATTCTAGAGTTACTGTATTTATATTGTCTGAATCCTTTCTTTCTTTTTATGTTTAAAAAATATTGCGTGTTAAAATTGATATAGTACATGGTAGCTGGCGAAAATTAAAATATTTAAATTACTATTTGGGTACTTTTTTCTTAATCGAAAAATGTACAAAAAGTATATACTGCTGCATTTAGCAAGGGCAAATTTAAATTTTTTGTTTTATTTTTTACAAATTTCTTAATTTTTAACTTTCCTAATTTGTCTTTAAAACGCGAACATTTTTAGTTTTTTCACTTCTACTTTTTTTTTTACTTAATGTTATTTAATATTCCATATATTTTAACTTGTTAATAATTTTATTAAATAAATTTCTTCGCAAAAAATGTTGCAAAAAAGCTTAGTTAGGTTTTTGCATTTAAATATCTTTTTTCCATCGATTTTTAATATTGTTTTTTTTTTTTATTTAATTATTTTAAGGAAGTAAAAATTTTCATTAAAAAGTTTTCAAAAATGTCTTTGAGGAGTTTTAAATTTTGTTTCGATTGTTAGAAATTTTAATAAAATCAAAATTTTTATATATCTTTTTTTTTCAAAAATGTTTTTTTTTTTATCCGATTTTCATTTAAATTTCCATTGTTAAATTTAGTTAAATCAAAGTTTCCATAAAAGCGTTTTCAAATATGCTTACATTTTAATTTCAGTTGTTAATAATTTCTTTTTCCTAAAATTTTCAATCAAATTCAATTGTTAATAATTTTAATAAAATTAAAAATTTTATTAGAAAAATTTTCAAAATTCCATTCCTTTTTTTCTATTCAATTTTTAATCTTGTTTCAAATGTTCGTAATTTTAATTTAAAATAATTTCAAAAATGCTTATATAGGTTTTTGATTTTACATATTGTCTCTAAATAACTGAAAATAATTGAGATTAATTCAAAAGTACACACATACATAAATAATTTTTTTTATACATAAAGAGAGAAAATATCAAATAATAAATACGCATAATTTGCAACAAAAAAATCTTGATTCAAAAAACGGAACTGACACTCAAGACAAAAGAAAATTTACATTTTGAAGGAGTATGTGGTGTAGTGGTAAAGTAAACTTGATGAAAATGCACGTTAGAGCAAATAAAAAACACTGAATACAAGAAAAATTACAATTTGACATATTTAATAAATTTATTACTATTATTATTTAGTGTATAGTACATAAATACATAAAAAAAAACTCTTAATTTTGTATGCCTAAAAATACAAAACTATATTAATGATAATGACAAAGCTGACGATTGCAATTATGATTAAAATTCAAGGTCATGATTATAATAAACAATTTATTGATAAACTTTAAATATATACATATTATAAATATATACCTATATATAAATATATATATATTATACATAAAATATTAAGTGCAGAACTGCTGACAAAACCAGCAAAAAATCAATTGAAAAAAAAGATATTGTTATATTCTTAGTATGTAAAAAAATGCAAATGAAAGGAAATTGACGAAAATACAAAGATTAAAAAAAAAACTACAAAAAATATAAATATAATTGAAAAAATTACTTATTGTTTTATTGAGAAAAAGTTGTATAGAGTAAAATGTGAGGTTATCTAAATTGACTGATATGAAAAAATTTAGATTTTTTAAACGAATCTATGGATTTTTAGCAAATAACAGTTTATGTATTTTAGTACACATACCGTATACTCGCAGTTGAACAGTAAGTATGACTTTCAGGAATAATGTATAAAAACAAATATCAGCTCACGCCGGACCACAAAACTTTAAAAAGGCTCTTTATATACATAATATACTATTATTTATAAACAAAATTGTCATTTAATTTTTAATTATATATCCTTTAGAAGAGGAGGAGGCACTCGATGAGTCTGCACAAGTAGCTGAACTGTCAAATGATTCCGATGCACCTCTGAAGCCGAATGTAAGTGATTTTTTATTAATAGTATTACTTTAGTTTTTGTTGTACTATTAAAAATAATATGTACATCTATATTTTTTTGTACTTTACACAGAATGATGAAGACGATGATTATGATCCCGATGATAATCGCAAAAAGAAAAAGGGCAAAAAGCGTAAAACTAAAAAGGGCGAAGAGAAGGGCCGCAAGAAAAAGAAGCGTAGAAAGAATGATAGTGATGATGATAGTGATTTTATGCAACATGACGAGGAGGTCGATTATGGTAGTACAACAAAGCGTGGACGTAAACGTAAGGAAGCGGAAAAGGCGTCTACAAAGGAAAAGGAGTCTAATTCATCAGGTGAGTTACAATTATTTGATAAATATTTGTTAAAATACGCTGGTGGCAGCATTGATAGAGATGAATTTCTTTTGCGTTGGTTTTTGCTTGGTATTTTCGCCATATCTTTTTATAGTTGAAAGGAAATTAAACTTACATTTTTCTTTTTTTCTTTATTATTAAATAAAATTTAATGGTAACAAAGCAAAAATTAAAATTACTGAAACACAGTGGCAAAAAAATTGGTCTCGAAACAAATTGCTAATAACAAACTAGCTGATATTATTAACGCATTTTGTACGGGTACTTTTTACAGCGTAATCGTGCCGGAAGGGGCGTTTTACTCGTCAATTTAGTTACTCATTTGAATCTCAATATATCTTTATGTGTATTTAAAAAAAAAATATTTTTTTAATAGATAAATTTAAAAAAATTTTCTGTACCCGCAACAAACCATGTTTTCACACTAACCCATAGTAAATAACATAACTTCTTCAGAATACTGCACCATGCTTCTTGGAGTTTTGGGTTAATATTTTTACACTTTCAAGCTCCTAAAGACCGAGTTAGCTCGCCCAAAGGTGCTGCATAAACCTAAGAAACGGGGTTTCTGCGACTACTTCATAACGGAAAAGTTTTCGATAAATAAACGATTTAATGGAATTACTTCTACAGGGATGGCTTCATCGTTGTTCTAAATATGACCAGATAATCTGCAGCACTCATTCTTTATTTCATCCAATAGATTGGCCAAATAACAGAGGGCGAAAAGCAGCCCAACCCAACTACATTGAATTTTTGGTTAAACAATTGTCCTGTGGGACTCGCCTAAAGTATCGTTCTCTGTCCGATCCCAAGAATATTGTCTTTTTTTACTGCGACAAAAGCATATTTCTCCAATTTTTGCAAACCAAGTTGGTACTAGAAAATTTAAACCTTAGTGGTATATGGATATGGATTTTACTTAAAAATAGTACTTTCCGACACTCGTTCCAGCTGATTCAACCTTTTAAAGCCTGTACCACACTCTTTGACTTGCAATTGAAGCATTCAGTTATTTTTTCATGTCTTGGGGCGGTTTAAACGAATTTTCCTTTGCGTAGTGTACCAATAGATTGTTGAAACGATTTTGAGTTTTGCTCTTTCTTCTTTTAGTTTCGGGTTTTTTCACATGATGAAGAAGGATTAAAGTGATTCAATATAATATTTTGATAAAGAGTGTTTTTGGCCCTGAAAATAAGTCGGAATAGTTTGTTTCTATTAATTCTGCTACCAGGCAAATGAAAATAAGAAGCGACATAATGAATGAATAACGTTTTCAAAAACAAGTTAGAATGAATAACGTTTTCAAAAACAAGTTAGAATGAATAACGTTTTCAAAAACAAGTTAGAAACGGCTGAGCATTAGATTATCCGGTTGAATAGATTGTAGACTTGTGATCAAAAGATTCTCTGAGGTACTCATATATACCTTCAAAATAAATTAGGTATATCATACGAGTACAGATGCGTTAAATCGGTTTGTATTTAGCGTGATGGAATTCTATCGAAGATATATTGAATTATATGTACCAATATATGTACACACCTGAAATGCTATTTTAACTTTGGTCCGAATTATCAGAAAGAGAAGAGATAGACCCATTAATATTTATACCGATCGGGCCAGAAGGACGAGTTTCGTCGATTTAGACCGTCTGTCCGCCTATTTGTACGCAATTATTTCAATAAAGTTTGTACACAGATGTTCTTTTAGATTTTAACGATATCGGAACCGGCGAGGTAGGACTTTTACGATATTGAACCTTGGTATTCTACACTAATCTACATATATCTAAAGAATTACACTACTTGTTGTTGGTACTGAAAATCATAGAAATCTAGCCTCATACAAGCGTTTTGCTAAAAGTATGAGATTTGGTATACTCCACACGTAAATACATATAAATAAACATTGACACTGAAAGCCATCGAAATCGGAAAATTTATATAATCATATAGAGTTAGTAATTAATCAAATACTATACATTTGTTATGGTCATAAAAGGTATACAAATTTCGGCATAGCCGAAAACGATGAGTTTTCTTTCATATTTTCCCTGGCCCGGAATGTCAAATTTGTGTTACTACAATAGAGTTAGACAGAGCATAGAATTTCTTGAATGGTGGTTCTGTGCCAGCCAGTTTAGATGTATAATGTATTGTAAATGAGTGTAGACTTCCGATTCGGTCGCGTTGGAAAGTTTTACAGTTCCTTTTTTGAACAGTCGAAGTGAGTTCGGAAAGTGTAATGTAGGCTCAATTTTGAGAATATTTGCATTCTTATATAAGATCATAATGATAAATACCTTTGTTTCAAATTTTTTTCGAGTTTCGGTAATGTGGCAATATGGAATTTTCGCTTTGTAAATTTTTTTTTGAATGCAGAACAAATCGCAAATTTTCAACAAAATCATTATAAATACACTAAGCATGAAATTTTTGTTTCTCTTCCTTAAGGCATGCCATCTGTAGAGGATGTTTGCTTCGCATTTGATGTCACCGATGTTGAAATTCAATACAGCGAATCTGATATGCAAAATATAACATCGTACAAATCATTTACCCAACATGTACGTCCTATATTGCAAAAGGAGAATCCGAAAATACCAGCACCGAAATTAATGATGTTGGTAGCAGCCAAATGGCGTGAATTTTGCGAGGCTAACCCTAATTTGCAAGCGAATCAGGGACGTAGTACGGGTGGTGAAGAGGCTGAAGAGCCACGTTCGTCACGATCTTCGCGCAACGAAAAGGTAAGAAATTATGCATTTTCGGATTTTTTTTATATGTGTGCGTGTATATAGATATTAACAAGAATTACTTGTAAACTTTTATTCGGAATTTACCGTTTCTGATTTGAAAAGAAGTTGACAAGTTTGTCTTAAGCCATGTGAAGCTATAGATTACATAGTTCATACATCACTGACAACAGATATGCAACGAAATAACGAAAACCTTAAAATGTTTTTAACAAATAAAAATAACATAAATTATTTTTACATTATATGCATTGCACAAGGTTTTCTTCTTTAAATGTAAACATTTTTTTATTTTCTTTCTCTCCAAAGCCGGACGATATATATGAAGAAGAAGAAGAGGAAGAAGATGAGGAAGAGGAAAAAGAAACATCACGTTCCCGTCGCAAACGTGGCGGTCGTTCGAGTAGCAAAAAAGGCAGACGTGCGGGCAAAGTACCAACACTAAAAATCAAATTCGGCAAACGTAAGCGCGGAAGTTCCGATGAGGACCAGGATGCTAGCGGGGCATCAGAACGTGATTCCGATTTGGAATTCGAGAAAATGTTGCAAAAATCCGATGAAAGTACCGATGAGAAAGAGGCTCCCGCACCCGCCGAAAAAGTGGAAGCACCTGTAGACGATGCAACTGCTGCACCTGTTGTACGCAAGAAAGCAAAAACTAAAATCGGCAATAAATTTAAGAAGAAGAAGAAGATGAAGACCACCAGTCGTTTTCCGGATGGAGAGGAAGGCGAACATGAACATCAAGATTATTGTGAAGTTTGTCAACAGGGTGGTGAAATCATACTCTGCGATACATGTCCACGTGCTTATCATTTGGTATGCTTAGAACCAGAATTGGATGAAGCACCCGAGGGCAAGTGGTCATGTCCGCATTGTGAGGCTGATGGTGGTGCCGCCGAGGAGGAAGATGACGACGAACATCAAGAATTCTGTCGCGTTTGTAAAGATGGCGGCGAACTTCTGTGCTGCGATTCGTGTCCATCAGCCTATCACACTTTTTGTCTCAATCCACCACTTGATACAATACCAGATGGTGATTGGAAATGTCCACGCTGTAGTTGTCCGCCACTTTCCGGCAAGGCAGAGAAAATCATTACCTGGCGTTGGAATGAGTTGAATGAACCTTCAACATCGAAGAAAGCTAAGCCCACACGAATGCGTGAGTACTTTGTGAAATGGCACAACATGTCCTATTGGCATTGCGAATGGGTTTCTGAGGTGCAGATGGATGTACACCATCCACTTATGATTCGTTCATATCAACGTAAATATGATATGGAGGAGCCGCCTAAATTCGAAGAATCATTGGACGAGGCGGACTCGCGTTTCCAACGTATACAACGCCATAAGGCCAAAGGTGGTATACAAGTCGAGGATGAGAATGAGGAGTACAAAAAGGACCTAGAGGAACGTTTTTATCGCAATGGTGTCAAACCTGAATGGTTAATTGTGCAACGCGTTATTAATCATCGTACTACACGCGACGGCACCACAATGTATTTGGTGAAATGGCGCGACTTGCCATATGACAAGTCTACTTGGGAAGATGAAACAGATGATATTCCCGGCCTAAAGCAGGCTATTGATTATTATCAAGATTTACGTTTAGCTTGCACCTCAGAGTCGAGCACTTCACGTGTGGGGAAAAAAGGTAAAAAGGGGCGCAGATCGAAGGTAAAGGAGCTGGAAGATGAAGAGCGTGTACAACGACGCTTCACGCCGCCACCAGAAAAACCCACTACGGACTTGAAGAAGAAATACGAGGGTCAACCACAGTTCTTAGAAGAGACTGGCATGCAACTGCATCCCTATCAAATAGAAGGTATAAACTGGTTGCGTTATTCATGGGGCCAAGGCATAGATACTATATTGGCTGATGAGATGGGTCTCGGCAAAACTATACAAACGGTCACTTTCTTGTATTCGCTATACAAAGAAGGTCACTGTAAAGGACCTTTCTTGGTAGCTGTGCCACTGTCTACCATCATAAATTGGGAACGTGAATTCGAATTGTGGGCACCGGACTTTTATTGCATCACATATGTTGGCGACAAGGACTCGCGTGCTGTTATACGGGAGAATGAGCTGACGTTTGAAGAGGGCGCAATACGTGGTGGTAAGGCATCACGTTTACGTACCACCCAATTCAAGTTCAATGTGTTGTTGACCAGTTACGAGTTAATCTCGATGGACGCTGCTTGCCTAGGCTCGATCGACTGGGCGGTGTTGGTTGTTGATGAGGCTCATCGCCTGAAGAGTAATCAAAGTAAATTCTTCCGCATACTAAACAGCTACAACATTGCATACCGAATGCTACTCACCGGTACACCATTACAAAACAATCTGGAGGAACTGTTTCATTTGCTGAACTTCCTTAGTCGCGACAAATTTAGCGATTTGAATGCTTTCCAAAACGAGTTTGCTGATGTGTCAAAGGAAGAACAGGTGAAGCGTTTACATGAAATGCTTGGACCTCATATGTTGCGTCGTCTTAAGGCTGATGTGCTGAAGAATATGCCCTCGAAGTCGGAGTTTATTGTGCGTGTAGAACTATCCGCTATGCAAAAGAAATTCTACAAATTCATTTTGACCAAAAATTATGAAGCACTTAATTCGAAGAGTGGCGGTAATTCTTGCTCACTCATCAACGTCATGATGGATTTGAAGAAATGTTGTAACCATCCTTATTTGTTCCCATCAGCAGCCGAAGAAGCAACAACCACAGCGGGTGGAATGTATGAAATAAATTCACTAATAAAAGCTGCGGGCAAATTAGTTCTACTTTCGAAAATGTTAAAACAACTGAAGGAGCAAGGTCATCGTGTGCTGATATTTTCTCAGATGACGAAAATGCTGGACATTTTAGAGGATTTCCTTGAAGGCGAAGGATACAAGTATGAACGCATCGATGGTGGTATCACCGGCAATTTGCGACAAGAGGCTATTGATCGCTTCAATGCGCCAGGCGCACAACAATTCGTTTTCTTGCTCAGTACACGTGCTGGTGGTTTGGGTATCAACTTGGCTACCGCTGATACGGTCATCATCTACGATTCCGATTGGAATCCCCACAATGACATTCAGGCATTTTCACGTGCCCATCGTATTGGACAGGCAAACAAGGTGATGATTTATCGTTTTGTAACGCGCAACTCTGTTGAGGAACGTGTTACACAGGTGGCAAAACGTAAAATGATGTTGACTCATTTAGTCGTGCGTCCCGGCATGGGCGGTAAAGGTGCGAATTTCACAAAACAAGAACTGGATGATATTTTACGTTTCGGTACTGAGGAACTCTTTAAAGAAGATGATAAGGAAGAAGCAATTCACTATGATGATAAGGCAGTAGCTGAACTGCTTGATCGTTCTAATCGTGGTATTGAAGAGAAAGAATCTTGGGCTAACGAATATTTGTCCTCGTTTAAAGTTGCTTCGTATGCTACCAAAGAGGAGGATGAAGAAGAAGAAACTGAAATTATTAAACAGGAAGCTGAAAATTCTGATCCTGCCTATTGGGTAAAATTATTGCGCCACCACTACGAACAACATCAGGAGGATGTAAGTCGTACACTTGGTAAAGGTAAACGTGTACGCAAGCAAGTGAACTATACAGATGGCGGCGTCGTGCCAGCTGATACAACACGCGATGATGGTAACTGGCAAGATAATGCTTCGGAATATAATTCTGATTACTCAGCCGGCTCGGATGAGGATGGTGGCGATGACGACTTCGACGAACAGAATGGTGGAGCAGATGGCCGTAAAGCCAAGCGTCGTATGGAACGGCGCGATGACCGTCCATTGCCACCATTATTAGCTCGCGTTGGAGGTAATATTGAAGTGTTGGGTTTCAATGCGCGCCAACGGAAGAGTTTTCTCAACGCTATTATGCGTTTCGGCATGCCACCACAGGATGCATTCAATTCACAATGGTTGGTACGTGATTTGCGGGGCAAATCTGAGCGTAATTTCAAAGCTTACGTATCGCTATTCATGCGTCATCTTTGCGAACCGGGCGCAGATAACGCAGAGACCTTTGCGGACGGTGTACCTCGTGAAGGTTTGTCTCGCCAACACGTGTTAACACGTATAGGCGTTATGTCACTGATACGCAAGAAAGTGCAAGAGTTCGAACACATCAATGGCTACTATAGTATGCCCGAGTTGATATTGAAGCCTTGCGAACCTGTACGCGGACAATTAGGTGGACCGAAGATAGTGGATGGTCAGACTGTTGTTGGTGGTGCTGTTGAGACTGAGGGCTCGAAAGCGACTGAAGACAAAAGTGCAACAACTAGTACAAGCGCTACTCCAGCTACCAGTGCTGCGCCGAGTCCCGCGCCAGTATCTGAAAAGGGCGAAGATAAATTATCCGCTGCAGGTACAACAGCGACAAATGATGATATCAAAAAGGAAACTGAATCAGGCGGTGATAAAGAGCAGAAGCCTGAAACAAGTGGAGAACCTAAAGATGAACAAAAAGTCGAAGGGTCCGGTAATGATGTGAAATTCGAGAAGCAGGATGAAAAAGATAAGACTGGCGCTGACCTTAGCAAGGACATCAAAGTGGAAACAGGCGAAAGCGGTGATGTTAAAAAAGAAGGCAGCGAATCTGGTAACGGAGCTAAAGATGTAAAGGACTCTAAGGAAGATGCGAATAAAACCGTAAAGGAGGATGGCAAGCCGGAACAAAAACCTAAGGATGAACCGACAACAACAATCATCGATGACGATGATGATGACGTGATGATCGTCAAGGAAGACGGTGAATTAGAGAAGCCATCGACATCAGCGAGCAATGCAAGCAATAGCGCCAAGGATCAGAAACCGAAAATTGAGGAAAGTCTTGAAGTATTGAAACGTAAATTTATGTTCAATATTGCCGATGGTGGCTTCACCGAGCTGCACACACTCTGGTTAAATGAGGAAAAAGCCGCAGTGCCCGGACGTGAATACGAAATTTGGCATCGTCGTCATGACTATTGGTTACTTGCGGGTATAGTGACACATGGCTATGGCCGTTGGCAAGATATACAAAACGATATACGTTTTGCCATCATTAATGAACCTTTCAAAATGGATGTTGGCAAAGGAAATTTCTTAGAGATCAAGAACAAGTTCTTGGCACGCCGCTTTAAACTGCTCGAACAAGCATTAGTTATTGAAGAGCAGTTGCGTCGCGCTGCCTTTTTGAATTTGGCGCAAGATCCTAATCATCCGGCGATGTCGTTGAATGCTCGTTTCGCAGAAGTCGAGTGCTTGGCTGAATCACATCAGCATTTGAGCAAGGAATCGCTAGCTGGCAACAAACCAGCCAACGCTGTGCTGCACAAGGTTCTCAATCAACTGGAAGAGCTGTTGTCCGATATGAAGAGTGACGTTTCACGTCTACCAGCCACATTGGCGCGCATACCGCCCGTTGCACAACGCCTGCAAATGTCGGAGCGTTCGATATTGTCACGTTTAGCTGCAACTGCGGGCAATGCTTCAAATGCGGGTATGTAACCAAACAATTACATACATATGCAGATATATATATATTTAACTTTTAATTATATTTTTTTTTCTTTCTTTAGCTCAACTAATGGCACAGTTTCCAGCCGGTTTTCAAGGAACTACGCTGCCTGCATTTGCTGGCGGACCAGCGGGAAATTTCTCCGCGTTCAGACCGCAATTTTCCGTACCCGGTCAGTTGTCGACCACATCGAGCGGCACCCCCACAAACAATTAAATATCATTTCGTGTGTTTTCTTTTAATGCGACATAAATTTATTTTTCTTATTATAATATTTAATTTTAAAATTTTATCTCTTGTCTTATCTTCGTAAACATACAGATGATACATATACTTATGTTTAGTAGTAATTATTCGAAATACATAAAATAACTAAAATATAATTTTATTGAACAAAATTTTATTTGTAGCATTATAGTAATAATTTGTTTCTGGAATACTTATACAACGGAGCAAAAACTTTTGCTTTTCGCATGCTCCACAGCATCTATAGTCGAGTTTCCTATATACCATACAAATGAGAGGTCAAAATGATACCACTTGCCTAATATAAGGAGTTTCTTGAATATTCCAAAAAGTGGCGGATAGTAAGAGCTTTAGCTAACGGTCCAAACGCTCATTTGAAAAGTGGACTCTCTTGTTCTTGAGTGGTAGATCAAAGTATAACCTTGCAAAAAAAAAAAAACTTTCATGAAGCACAATAGACAACAACGCTTATTGCTTTAGTACAGGCGCAACATCCAAGAAAAGGAATAAATAATAATAAAACAGTAAACCATAAAATTTATATTACATACTACATCCATTCATACATTCATACAATATATCAATATAATCGTACATACATTTTGAAATATTTAAATCTCAATGTTCCATCTAATTCAATCAATAGGAAAAACAAACAATATCAAAAAATAGATTTTTATGTGTTTTAAAGTAAAGTATTTATCAGATCCAATTACTAAGTAGTATTTCTCATTCAAAAAGACACATATTAATTATGATATGATACAATTTTATTGTAACAACCATAAACATTTACTTCATCTATAAATAAATGGGAGAAATGAAAAATGTGTAGTTTTTTTTTAATGATTTCAATTTCTGCACACTCAATTAAATAATTACCGTATTAAGAAGTTGAAGCATTACGCAATGCCGCTCAATTTTGAATTATAGTAGTATTTAGGAGTTCCTTAACATTTTATATTTCCCAGAAGCCAGCAGTGTTTCTACTGCTACTAGTTCCAAATCTTAAGGTCCGAGCTATGAATTTGTTATGATTTTTTTAAAATTGAGCTGTTGAGAGGAATGTATAAAAATAAATATAGCGGTTTTTGTTGTAGACGGTTTGGGACCGGAAAGAACGTGCGTTAGATTAATAGGTTTTAAGAAGCAGGCAAAGAGTGGTCAGTATCGTGTGTGGCCTCATTGCAAGCAAGCTATACGTTCGGTATGTCGGAGTCAAGTCCGCATAAGTAAGAGAAATCAACTTTCACCACAACCGGTTTTATGTACAACAAGTGTCTTTAGTGACCATGATCATATATTGTAAAAAAATAACAATTTTGGTAAATAATAAACTTTTCACTGCCGATACAAAATATTAACCTTTTCTTCTGCTCCATGTTAATTAATTGTTTTCATTTAAATTAAAAAAGGAGTTTATTTTTAGTTTTTCCCCCTTTTGGATACATTTTAATTTAAGGATGTTATAAATATGTAATTAATATCTACAATTCCTTATTCTTAAGATTTTTTATTTACGCAACCAAAGTTGAGTAATTTTGGGAATTTTTTTTCTGTGACATAAATAAATAAATTCTGAGAAAGTATTTCACAAAAAATATTTTAGTATATACATACATATGTATATATACTAAAATACATATGTATTGTGAATTTTTGAGAGCGATCTCCTGACTTTACTGATCTCTACGGCAAACAAAAAGATGTAACGATAAATTCTGAATACTTTTGTGCTGATAACATACATACATATTTCACTTTCACTTTGGCTATGGGGAAAAATACTGTGCGACAACAAACAAATTTATTCGCATAATAGAATATTAAGTTCATACCTTTGGTTGATATATATGCTCTTGAGTGTTCTTAGTTTGAATGAACAAAATTCATATGAAAACGTACCATTTTGGTTAACGTAGTACTGCCATTAAAATTGCTTTTTGTATTATCAACCTCGCATTAAATTCATCGTCGAAAAACTTGAGCTAACTGACGTCAAAACTAAGTTTAAACGCACATTGTCTTTGTATGATCAGTCTTTTTAAAATATTCATTTGAATATTGTTACACATTCAGCTACCACATCATCAGCTATACTAACGATGAACCCAATTTCATCATCAATAACAACTAATACAATTAATCCAATATTTAAAACAACAGATACCGGATGCTAAATTCAATTAAACCAATAATACAACATACATACTTACGTGTACCATAATTCGACACCAAGCTGATAATAAACCATGTATACTTACGTATAACATAAATCGACACTGAACTGATAATACAAGCTACATACTTACGTATAATAGAATTTGACACTTAATGTGTGGTCAACGAACATAAAAAGTATCATCAAAGAAATCTGAATCTAAATTAATTGGACACCAAGTATCATCAAAGAAACCCGACACTAAGTCATTATAAATTTGATAATGTTTTGACAATAATGAGTATTGCGCAAATTGTGAAATTCCAAAGCGATCAAATTATGATTGATCGAAGAAGGTATAAAAGAGACTGTTCGATATTAAAACGGAGAGTTCTGAACATGAGTTACTAACGAACAGTTGAGTACATTTCCAAGGAGGACGCTCTGAAGTAAAGGACCACAACTTCACAGGAGAGAAGAAGGATCCTGCCTAAATTTCGAATACCTAAATAAGTATCTTTTTGACAACCATAAAAAGTTTTATTCTTTCCTTTGCAGCTCTTAATAAACCACGATTTGTAAAAGACAACCAAATCTTAACATTTTAACTAAACAAGAGTTCTTTTAAAATAGAATTTACAGTGTAGAAATCTACTACATTGTAAAAACCTATTATTATATGCTATTTTTAAAAGTAAAACAATATTTTCTTACTTACATATATTGAAAATAATTTCTTGGGCATTTAAGTGATAGGTAAAATATAGTTTTATTTTCTGAAAATATATAAACTAATCAGACATAAATAAGGTTCCGGAGATCATTTTTCATTTGTTGAAGTTGTACTTTTGAAATTTCCAATTCTAATTCCATCTTTTTAATCTTTAAATTGTGTTCTTTTTTCGTCATCTCTATTACCAATTCTTGTTTTCTTATCTGAACCTCCTGTTCTTCAACCCTGTACATTTGTAGTTCATATACTTGTGACTTATTTGTTGCTGAACTCGTCAAAGGATCAATGCCGTTTTCACCTTTAATAAAAAAAGTATTGTTTAAAAAAGTTAAAACTCAAAAATATAGTCCACAACCATGCAGATCTTCGTAGTCTTCGACAAACGCTGATATTTTCTGGCTATTTCTGTCGTTATTTGTAGTAGCAGCTACACCCTCGATTCCACCATCTTTAATAAAAAAAGAAGTTTCATGAAAAATAATTAAAACCCAAAAGTGTAGTCTACAACCATTCAGATCTTCGTCATCTTCGACAAACGGTGACATTTTATGGGTAACTCTGTCGTTATTTGTAGCAGCAGTTAAATCCTTGATTCCACCACCGATTCCATACCTTTTTCCTGCCATAGCGATGTGCTCTTTTCTTCGTTTTTTCTTTAAGTTATCATACTTTGTTCTTAATTCTTTAGCATTTCTGAAGATATGACCAAATTTTTTATTAAATTCCTCCTCTAAATCAATCCATGCTTTCGTTTTCTTAGCAGTAGTGATGCGATCTGTTTTCTTATTCTCGAGAACATTTTTCCTTAAGTCCACGAGTTGCCATAAAAAGTCTTCCTCATTTATTGTAAAGTTTGGGCATCGCTTAGACATACTGTTGCTAAATTAGTAACAAATATTTTAGTTAAGACCTTTTTTCTAGCGTCTAATTTTATCAAGGATTTTGTGGTATAAACAGCTGTTAAGAGATTTGCAAAAGGAGAAAAACAGTATTGCCAGGCAAACAATACTGTCAAAGTTAAACGAAAGTTTAAAATAGAAGTTAAACCGTATTTTCAGGGAGGCAACATTGTTTTTATACTCCAAATATACCACAGCTGCAGCTAACACTTACGTGCAGCAGACAATTTTGTTTTGTGGGTAAACTTTTTAATGAATTCATTAGAAGTTAAGTCTATAAGCGAAGTTCTGTTTAATTAAATTTTCGTTCTTTGAATACATATTTACAACCTGCAACACAGTTTAACTAGCATTGCGGGACAGGGCCTAAATGTACAAATACCCAGTAGGAAAATATCAGATCAAGTGATTTAAGGCAATGCTATTAATTTTTTAACACACATTCATTTATATTGAACAACCACCTTAACAGGCCTAAAAGAAAAGCGGCCACAATATCAAGAGCGACATGACAAAGTCATCCTCCAACACGAAAATGCTCGTCCTCACGTCGCAAAAGTGGTAAAGAAGTACCTGGAAACTCTGAAATAGGAAGTCTTGCCCCACCAGCCGTATTCCCCAGATGACGCCCCTTCTGACTTACACCTATTTCATTCTATGGCACACGGCCTGGCAGATCAACATTTTCAATCCTTCGAAGAATTGGAAAAATGGATTGCTTCATGGATAGCGAGCCGGGATCCGAAAATAGCCGGAAAGATGGGAGAAAGTTGTCGCTAGCGAAGAACAATACTTTAAATAATATATCTGTAAGCACTTTTTCGCAATAAAGCTTTTAATTTTGGAAATAAACGGCGGAAGCAAAGTTGTACACCGATAATTTCATTTAGTTTTTTAAGCATATATACTCATATGTATATTTATTGTTACTTTTTCCCATAACAATTTTATATTCTTATTGTATGGGATAAAGTGTTTTAGCGGAGAGTTCTTCTTCATTACTTTAACATGAAAAAAAGTGCTACCGAAAGCCATCGCATTTTACTGGACCTTTATGGTGAGCATGCTCTATCCGAACGAACGTGCCAAAAGTGGTTTGCACGGTTTGAAAATGGCAATTTCGACTTAGAAGATGGAGAACCCAAGATGAAGAATTGGAGACATTGCTCGACGCAGATGCATGCCAGAGGCAAGAAGAACATGCAAAAGTATTAGGAGTTGATCAAGCAAATAAAAAATAATATGTTATAAACAACCAAATTTAAACTCTTATTATTTTACAATAAATTTAGATTTTCAATTTATTAATTGTTAATTTTTACTATTCGTTAAGATAACCAGAAGGGTTTGTGCACTCTCCAGCGTGTATTGCTATTAAAATCACTAACAATGATAATTATTGCTTTATTGCAATTTAAATTCGACCACATAAGGACATGGCGGGTTTTGTTACAGGTATTATACAATATGTGTAAAAAAAATTTTAAATTTAGTTCAAAATAAGAAAATAAATCTAATGATCGAATTAAAGTCAACTTTACTCCCTATAAACAAAATTGAATGGACTCGTTATTTTATAATTATAATTAGTGCATCTGATATCAAAAACTTAATTATTCGTTGAAATCAGGCGTTCCCTCGAAAGTGCACCCGCTACGTTTAATAATTTGTCGTGCTGCCCAGATGCCTGAACGTATGCAAACGCCCAATGATTTCTTTTGTATGTACTGTGCCAAAAAACCACCAACGAAAGCGTCACCAGCTCCATTTGTATCGACAATTTCATCGGGTTCTAAACGTTCAACTGGAAATTCTTCGATTGTGTGCTCTTGTATAAGCAACACAGGTAAGTGACCTTGTGTAAGCACAACTATACGTGTGCGATCAGCATTCTGTTTTGGTAATGCCAACATCTTTTTACCAATTTCTTTCATATCTTTCTCTTCCCATCCCTGTGCAGCGGCGAATGCCTCAGCTTCCTATGAATTGAAAACAAATTTATTTATAAGTATAAGCATCCATTGTAAATTTATGTACTAAATATATTTACCAATTCATTGCCAAAGAGTATATCCACATATGGTAATGCAGCCATTAATGGTTCTGTGAAGAATTGTGACAAAAAAGGAGCACTCAGGTTCATGAGAAACGTACGTTTATGTTTGTGTGCATGTTGGGCGATATGCTGAATGCTTGGCGGACTTACAGTAAGGAAAAAACCCTGCAATATTTACATATTTGTAAATTCAAATTTTAAATATCCTTTTGTATGAAAACACATAATATACATATGATACAAAACTTCCAACTTACCGAAATATAAAAAAATTCTGCATTATCTATAAGCTTTTGCTTATCTGGCGTAAGCAAATGATCTATTGTAAAGTGATTTGCCGCCGCCAAATTGGCACATAGCGAACGATGGGTACCAGTGATAAGTACTCCACACGTGCCAGTGGGTGCTTCATTCGTACGTTGGTAATGTACATCTACACCGTTTGAACGTGCACGCTCATCTAGAATGTCACCATACTTATCCTGGCCGATGCAACCAAAGAATATAGCCGTATTTGGTTTCTGTAATATCCACTGACATACACGTAATGAATTTTGCACCGAACCTCCAGCTATATAGTCCGCATTGTACTTCTCCACCAAATCTTTATAGAGCGGCATATGTTTTTCTTCAGCTAAAATGGCGTCATTGGGTTTTAAACCATATTTTTGCAGAAAATGTTCATCCACAGTTGCTGATATATCGAGCAACGGATTTCCGCATCCTACTAAAACGCCTGGCCTGTAATTGCAATAAAAACAAGTAAAATCATTAAAATTTTATGTCTAAAGTACAAAAAAAAATATTGAAACATCTAATATTAATAATTACATTTCAAATCAAGTAATATCGCTACTTAATTATTCGGTTATAATAGAAGCAAAATATACAATTTGGAACAATTTGGATATCAACCATGTTCGTTCATAAGAATATATACACATATATATGTATATATACACGCAAGGCAAATTTAGACACGGTACTAGCAAGAATACATTAACAAAAATCGCAAAGCTGCCATGGGTGTATTTATATTTATGTTGCACGAACACACATATATGCATATTAGGTATCTGTAAATAGTTGATATGCCAGCTTCCGGTTTATTTATCATAACTAGATCAATTGTAAATCGTCAATAATTAAACTAATGACGTCAAACTAAACTTAACAAATCACGCTGTGCTTTTACATGCAAACGAATATAAGGTTATATGTCAACTGTATGCAAAAAAAAAAAAACACAAAGATCTGATAATATTCACAAGGGTATATATTAGTGACACCAAATCTGCTAAGCTTTGTATATAGCATGTATATACACAGCCATCTATTATATTATCGGCTTTTCCTTATCAGTTGGCATATAATACACATAATAAAAAAAAAAATATCGCATGCGAATTATTTTGATACACCTTCATTGCAATGAAAAATATTCCACCGCGATACCAAAGCAGTTTATGCAAAAGTAACGATAATTTACACTTGTGCTAGCCATTATATTTTTTACGAACTATTTTTATTAGACGTTCAGATGCTTAAATATGTATGTCACTTACTTTATTTCTTCGCTCATTATGTAAATAGTTACTAGTGTCAACCCCTTGGTATGCTTTCACTGCGATCACAACCGAAATTAGTTATTTTACTATGTACTATATAACAGTGGATACAAACACTATAAAAATTTAAACACTTTCAAATAAACTAAATGCTGTGAGTACAAGTTCGCCCATTGATGCTTTTTGGGCTAGAATATAGTTCAGACAAACCGCTAAAAACACATGGCACTCAATGTTTAGCAGCTCTATTGTGACAAAAACAACACAATCTTCAAACCTACACAAATCGACAAATATGTTTACGTATATATGAGAACATGTGCTTGACCATACGTGTAGTTGGCAGTTGGTGGTTCCAGCTGTCAGCTGATACAGTGGATCCAATTATGCAAAATATATTGTTATAATATCGTATTGATTACATACATATATATATATATATATAGTAAAATATTTTTTATGACAAATTTTTAAATAAGTAGTTATTGATTGATATAATTTTAAATAAATTGATGAAATTAAAGCTTTTTTTAAATCCTCCAAAAATTACCAAGTGCCAACTAATGATTAGGAGTTGGCAGTCATGGCCAGTTAGTGGCAAAAGCATATAGCAATCAGCTGTTTGCAAATAAGGGAGTGCACACATTTACAACAGTTATGAAACAAAAGGTATCGCTGGCGTATAATAAAAGTTTGGTACGTCACAATATCGACAAAATCAATTTTTGCTTAATCATATAGGTTGTTTGTATTATAGTGAGTAGTAAAAAATTGCATTTTAATAATTTTTCATTGATTGCTATAATGTTGTTTAGTTGAAAACAATTATTTTACCTAGCACTCAAACAAAAATTACTAAAATCACTGTGAGCCAAAAATTTCGGTGAAAAAGTCATTAATAAATTCAAACGTTATCTTTTTGCTTGGAAAACTCCTTCTCCAACACGCAATATCAGTTTTTTCAAAAATTAGTTTTTAATCGAGCATGAACGAAAAAAAATATTTTTTTCTGAGGTATATTTATAAAAGGTAATAAGTTGTACATAAAAAAAATGTTAACTGTTGAGAACTTATTACACAATACAATATTATATTACTTCTTCAAAATAAAACATTTTCTTATAAAATATATCTAATACAAAAATTAGTGTTAAACAAAAGCTCGTTCCATAGGGCTAACGATAGAGAGATCGCCGGATCATTTTGGTGAAATGCTTTTTTATGGGTCTTTTCTAAGTTTATGACTTTTTCATTAAAGAAGATAAAGTTATGGGTTCGAGCTTTTAGTTTAAAATTTTAGAAAAGTTGTTATACAAAATTATGGAAAATCAAGCTGTATTTCTGATATGGAAGAATAATCTCTCGAAAAAAAGTTTATCAGCCATTATCAGGCCTATTCTTATTGTTACCGGTAAAGTAAATTTTGTTACATTCTTAAAACCCGAAATTGAATTTGGTATTCAGGCGAGCTGGTTACAAAACTTTGGCAGCCCTGCTTTTTTTGTCCTTGTCAAATTACATTTACCAGTTGATAAAGTACAATAAAAAGAAAAATATTCACATCGAAATGGAAGACGGTGTACAAAAAAATCAAAAAGTTTTATTAATTTGTTTATTAAATCATAAATATTTGAACCTTATAATGGAAAATACTGGACAACAAAAAAAGCTGAATGAATCTTACAAATTAAAGGGCTATTTTTTTAGTCTCGAAAACTGCTTAAAATACGGTTTTTTGCACTTTTTTCTTTATCTTCAATGAATTCCAGACCTAAAATATGCCTACCCATTTTGGTTTTTATTTTTTCTCAAACTAACAACACAAAATCAAACAGCAGAAATTTTTGTTACCTCTATTTCGCTGGTAACAAAATTTACAAAGTGACAGTGAACTTAGAATACGAAATAGTAACAAAATTTACTGAAAGGTAAATTTTAATACCTAGGTAGATTTTGTTACCTCGACAGAATAGTCCTGTATAAAGTGGCTTACAAGAAAAGAAAAACTCTAAGTCATTCCATTTGTTGGAGAACGATCTCGGCCTTTTTATTTTCAGCGGTAACTATGTGATAATTTCAAACAAATAAATATATCGAACCCAAACCAACTAAAAATAATCAGAAAGTTAATGAAACTTTACCCGAAATACGGTAAATAGCCAAATACTTTTTTTCACGGGAACACTACATAACATTATCAGCGTTGTCTTCTGCTGTGTTTAAAAAAAAAAACTTTTTAATTATTTCAAAATTTAATATCTCATTACAGAAATCTGTCGAATTTCGATATTTTCAGCGAATACTATGTTAAAAACATTGTTGCCGATTCGTAGGGCTGTAGTCGTTAATATTGTTACGATTTTACTAAATCAACCTCGATTATTTTCTAGATCCTTCGGGTACGATCTCTGGATTGTTAAATAAAAACTCGCCAACTTAATTTGCAGTTTCTTTCGTTATAAAGATTCTATCTAATGTCCTTTATTTTCTCAGTAATTCACAATTCAATTATACTGCACTTTACTATTTATAATCACTAACATCAACTTTCACAATTT